TTGCTAAGATATTTAAACTTAAAGTCAAGAAAACTTTTACTTAGAAAAAATTTGTCCCTTTTCTATTGACTTCACCCCATTTATATACATGCAATTCAAATATGCAAATTATTAACAATGTTTTATTAACTTTATATAGCATTTAAAAATTCTACAACAAATCTAAATATATAGTAACTATAAGGTTGCTAGCTAGAAGTAAGAGAGAGACTAGTAAAGAATTTAAAAAAAAAGAAAAGTCTGTATGTAGGTACTAGCATTATATGAACCTACAAAGGCAAGAAGTAAATAACTAAAAACTAGCTAAGAAGGTTGTGGTCTGAGATACAGACTGGGTTATAGCAGCATTCTAAAGAGTGGCTTGAGATACAAACCTAGTAGTGGCAGCATAACAGGTATGAGTTAAGTTGAGGTTACTGAACATGCAGGTGAATACATGTGTAAGACATGTTCTGCTCTGTTAGATATACTTCAATGATAAATTAGTTTTAGAGTGGCTAATAAATATAGTAGTATCTCAAAAATTTATATATAGAATAGTGAATTACACCTATATTAAGTAGGATCAGTAGTATGTTATAATTAGAAAGTATAAATGGGTTGCAGATATAGCAAATAGTGTAGAACTTTCAGACAGACTACTTAAATTAGGCACCAAAAGTGTATATATGGCTTGATGTACTTTCATCATAATATATAATGCTTATAACTTACTTAATAAAAACTCACTAACTCAAGAAGTTATCTTAATATCCAAAAAAAAATAAAATAAAAAAATAACAATCAAATATATATAATTAAGAATTATAGTATATTACTATATTTAAAAATAATACTTTTGATTTATATAAAATCTAATTCTCAATTGTTTATTAGTATTACAATTCAAAAGTTAAAAAAATTGATTAGTTGGTTAGTTGACAATTAATTAATTTAACTTTTTAGATACCAACTAATTGATTAATCAATTAATCGACTAATCAATTAAAGAATTAATTGCTAATTGATTAAAAAATTAATTAATTCTTTAATTAATTGGTTGTAACTAATTGATTAATCAATTAGTTATAACTTATAATTAAGCAAAAAATTGATTAATTGATTAATTGCATCCTAACAATTAATTAATTAATTAATTAGTTGCAACTAGTTTGTCAATTAAAAATAATCTTCAACTAACAATTGAAAAATTTTGGTGATTTGTAACACTATTGTCTACCCAATATTTGATGTACTTTAATATCTTTAATCTTTTCTTGATACTATTTTATAGTCATATCTAGAGATACTATTTTAATAGTTTTAATATTCAACATCTTTATCAATTTTATTTTATTTTATTTTATTTTTTTTTTGGTATTAAGGTGACCTCTTTGGTCTGGGGACTTTTTATTAGAGTATAGATGAAGTTTTTATATGTAATTACAATGATGGTACATCAAGACACACGTGCACCTTTTGAGTGCCTATTTAAGTAGTCTGCCCGAAGGTTCTACACTATCTGCCGTACCTGCACCCAACTAGGGGTACCCATTTAAACCATCTGGTTCTAACTACCTCCATCCGCCCTCTAACCTGGTGGGTTTCCTCACTATTCATACGTAGATATTGGTATCACATCAATTTTATTTTTTTGTAAATATAATTGTATATAACTTTTTTGATTATCTTCATAGTTTTGAGTTTCTATTGTTTATCTCCAGGTAAGTTTCTTAATGTATATTCTGCATTATAGTCTTTAAAAATATATTAATAAGTAAGTCTGGCTAGTAAAAATTAACTCAAATAATTTTCAAATACTGCAACAAATTCACTATCTATACATCGAAACTTAATAAGTTGCTTGCCTGTCTTTGTATAATAGAGAATGTTTTTTATGTATTTTATTTACTAGTAACTCTTTAAACTGTTCAATATACTATAAGAGTAAAGAAATTAAATCAGCAGAAGGTTGATTGTAAAATCAATAAGCTGAATTTTTATGTTGTATAAGATCTTGAAATGTTTTATAAGTTTTGTTGCAAATAGTATACAAATATTGGTTTTGAGCTAAAGCAGGTTAATGTTTTGCTAGAGCAGTTGCTATATCAATCATGCTTGTCTTAAAAGAGTGAAGGATTGATTCAGTAAATCAAGTTTTTTTTGTTAGTTAAATTTTATAACAAATGTGCTTTTTATTTATTATCTATAATGCTATATATATCTTGCAATAACCAAAACTCATTAGTTTACAGTGCATTTTATTAGTTTGATATAATAAAAATAGTCTTTTGCAATTCTTGAATATTTGCCAGGTTGGTGGTACATTAATCAAACAATTTGTGGTAAATAAAAAAATCTAATGCTAACTGATTTTAAGATAAAAAATAAGACTAATTAATAAAAAATCTAGAATCATGGGGTAATAGTAAAACTATAAATTTTATTAGAAAGAAAACACTATTTTTTTAACATTATTTTACTCGAATCATGTTTTTTAAATTTTAAAAAAGCATTTTTTATTTTCATAATCTTTAACCTTTAACATTATTATATTCTTTACTTTATAATATTTATAAATTATAATTTTCAAACCAAACTAATATAATATGCACATAAAAAATATATTGGCTTTAAAGGTATAATAATAAAACTCAAATAAGCATGTACTATATAGATTACAAAAAAAAAAGCTTTAATGAAAAAGAAACATTTCTCAAAATCTACACTAAATCATAATTTATAAAAGAATACTAGTGATCTTTAATATTAAAGATGACATTTCCATTTATAATTAAATTATATACTTTTGAAATTACTGTTATTAGAGGCAAATCTGGTTCTAGACCCATGCAAGACCAACGCAGAACTATGAAGTATTGTACAAATAAAGTGTTATGCAATGATGACTGTAACCCAGAAGAAATAAATACTAATCTCTCTGCAACAAACCAGTTGGGTCTGGGTTTCTCAACTGAAACAAAATGCTAATTCTATAGAGAAAAACTATCTACCTGATTTGGTTTGATAGCTGTCAAAATTATATTACCTTGTTAGATAAGGTGTATAGCTATAATGGAGTTGGTAAGTAGATTGTGAACCAGAAGAAGTAGCATTCTTAGAATTGCCTTCTCTTTCTCTTATAAAATGCTAAAATAATAAAGGCTAAGTTACAGAGAAGAGTAAAGCATAGATAAATTAAGCAATATTAGTTTTAGATAATAAAAAATAAGTAATAGAAGCATTGAATATTTCTTCTTACTTCTTGTTATAATTCTTATAAATACAGGTTGAAAACTCCTCTTGCAAAAGAGTAGAGAAGTATTTTCTACAAAAAAGAAAGTTCAAAATAAATAATAAATTATACTTAAATAAGTTCATTAAATAAAACTTCTAAAAATACAAATAAAACTAACATTTCTTAAATCCACTTACCCTATAATGATACTCAAAGGTTGCCTTAGACTTTTATCAAATCAATCCCACTTTACCTATACCTTGAATAATGTTACATGATATCAACAAATATTAAGTGACAATTTGTTGCATTTTCACCTTTTCTGTTGAAGTAACTTTGGCAGTCCCACTTGTAATACTGTAATATATTCTACTATATATTAAGTATAGTCAACACTCTTTATAATAGTACCTTTTTATAATGAGTGAACTAAAAATTATAAAAATTTGGATTATTTCTGTTATATCTTTAATTCACAAAAGGCAAATAGAAAATATTCAAAGTACAGATGGTTGATGAAACATATATATACTAAAATAAAAGATATCATTGTGGCTGGTTAATGCTAACATTATTGTCAGCAAACAAATTTTTTTGGGGTCAGTCATTGTTTGCCAATTATGACTAATTTAAGAAGTGGGTTGTGGGTTACATAATCAAAAATAAAGTTTAAAAAAAGGCCCAAAAAATGAAATCAGCTGATATGGAATTTTAAATTTTTTTTTGTTTTTAGAAATAATTTATATTCTAAACTAGAATGAAATATTAAGATTTTTATATGAAAATAAAATTAACATACTACTTCCAAACTGTTTAACAGTAAATTTCAAGGAGTCTCCATCACAACTGCTTTAATTTTTTTTAACTCTTGAATGGATTCTAATGTAGTACCTTTGTGCCATAAACCACATTTTCTACTTTGATATACTCCTGTTCTAGTTTTAAGTACTTCTTTCACACTCTCAGTAGATGAATACACTACACCTAATGCCACACCTCTCCTATCTACCACAATAGTTATGGACAAACCATCAGGGTGATCTGATATTAGTGTATATGTTAAAGCGTCTGCTACATTTAACTGACTATTATTTTTTGAATCTAATATAAGATATTTGATAGGAACTACTAAATCAGCAGAAATTGTTGATAAATTTTTTATCAGATCCAAAGAATATTTTATACTATATCATGATTTTCATATTGTAATATTTTTAGAAAAAAACTGATTGATTAAAAATATGTGTTACAAAATCAAAATGCAAGAATGTATAATAATTAGTCATAATTATTTTATATAATACAGTTTTAATCATAAATATAATTAGTATGTATATGTATACATGCATACGTACATACATACATACGTTATAGTATATATTATTAAAAGAATTCAATTGTTTTTGTTATGCTTATTATATAAAAAGGAGTTACTTTGCAGTGTTACTGATTTCATCAGTCTTTCATTGTCTAATTTCAATAAAGTATGCCAGGCACGAAAGAAAATAAAAATGCTATGGTACTTGCCAGGGTATAGTGGTGGTAGAATTACTGAATTATGGCATTCTCCCATATAGTAGAATTAATTACAGCATAGCATCTGATTGCCATAATTATCTGGCAGTGCCAAAATTCAGAAAATTGACCAAAATTCTGAGTTGGTATATATCAGAATATTTTGGTATTACTTAATACAACCTTTTTCTGATAAATTCGGACCTAGGCTTTTGGTTGGTACACTTAATTTTGGTTCTGTTGTTACTTAAAAGTTTTGTAGTCATGTTATCTGATTGATTTATAGATTATTCCGATCATCCTTATATGATCATTTAATGATTGTTGACTAACCATTTCTTCAGTATCACATATTTTATTTCTATATATATATATCTATAGTTTATCATTTCTTTATTTATACTTTCTATACATGTCAAATTCTATTTCCTTATATATTATTCATACTATAACAAGATTGAGAATGTGTACTCCCAACATTGATAATGACCACACAAATAGAATTGTCAACTTGATATAAGACAATACAAACATTTTCTTTATTTTATAATTGTTGCCCTGCCATCGAAAAAAGATTCCAAAATTAGACAAGGAATCAAAGTCTAATGGCAGCTCCAAAGGCAAACAACAAGCATTTACTTGTTATAAAAACTGCCTGCTTGTCCTTTAAAAGGATTATTACAAGCTCTTAGAATGAAGAGTGTTGGGGGAAGATGCATTAAGTGTTTTGGGAAAAAATCATTAAAATAGTAAAAGGAGATTTAATTGGTGACAGGAGAAAAGAGTCTTTGTAATTGTGTATTGTTTGACAGAAGAGAATAGTCCCGTCAGTTGAGTAATGTAATTAAATATGTAAAATGATTATGTATTTAAAGGCCCACATTGATCTCAATAAATTTTTTCCGGACTTCAATCTGTTTAAATAAAACTCAAATACCTATAAGTTAGTAGGCATTTCAAAGCCGAAGGCAACTTATAATTATCATGCATAATCGAATTCTCACACTTCTTGTTAGCATTAAGTTAATGCTTATTGTTATTTTATTATCTTTATTAAATACTATTCTGCATACATCAATCGATCTATTTAAGAATCGATTCGCTGTTAATCTCTACATTGTTAAATAATTCCTTAAATTCTATTATTCTTGTCTCGCATCATTTACTCCAAAACCCTCTAATTATATCCAACCATACTTACTCGACATCCTTTCACAGTCGATATTCCTGACTTGTGTCGTTTACTGTCCTGTTCTAAACCGGCATTCCGATCGCTATTAGCTCTCCCGCCGATAGTAACACCGTATTTATAATTACGGCAATTACGGCAAAAAATACGGCACGTGCCGTAATTCGATAATTTTCAAAATTAATTCTACCACCAACTATATGCCAGGGGGGTTGCGCATGTTCTGTGCAAGTAAATGTTTATTCTTAGTAATTATTAGGTTTAAATAATAAAATTTTGAATTTAATTAACTCGATAATAAAAAAATTAGGCTACAATATATGCTAAATGTATAATGAACAATCTTAATAATGTAAATAAAGATTTATGTGCTAAAGAATTTGAGGCATTTAAAAAATGTATACAAAAAGTGGTAAGTAATATTTAATTTTTTATTTATGTTGTATTGTTGAATTAATCCTTGCTTTTTATTAAATATTTAGGTTGGAAAGTCTTTGTTATAATTTAATTTTAAATAAAAAAAAATAATATCGATGTGGTTTTTATTAATCGAATAAAAATTTTTATTATAATATGTAGTTTTTATAAATATTTTTTTTTAATATTTAGAGAAGGTTCATTTTTTGTAAATAGTAAAATCCCCCCGCAAATTATTACGATTATATTTAAACATATATACATGTGATCTATTAGCATGCCATTTTTTGACACCCACTCACCTGCTAAAAAAATCAGATGATAAATGAAATTTCCCTTATATAATTTTTTAAAACAATAAAATTTTGTATCATCATATAAATAAAAAATTTGAATTAGTCTATATATCGATATTTGATTTTAATATTATTAACGTTAAATTTCAATTAATCATACACTTGTCAAAAGACTTATTATTGTTTATTCTTATTTTAACAAATTTGAAACGTTATATATAACTCAAAATATTAAAAATTAAACTTTAGATTTAGAGGTCAGACGAAATTTTCAAGGTAATGATTTAATTAAATTGATATATGAAATAATAGGACTACCCAGACTTCTTCGCTAAGCCAACGCTTATATCTTAAAATACAACTGATATTCTTAATTATACCAAAAATTTTTATTTTTAAATGGTCTATTTTTTTTTCCTCTTACGCTAAAACTTATTAATGAAATCAAATTGAAATATGATTGGTTGACATGATCAATTTACAAAATATAAAAAAATTTAAATTTAATACAGTAGTATTAATAGCATTTACTCATAATACCTATAATGAGTTCTTAACTAATATAAATATGACTGTATCGAATTACAAGGATAAAAATATTTCAATACCAAAAGCTTCAGAGTAAATCTACTTTATAAAATCATTTTTCGGCTGATTTTTATTTTTATTTATTTTTAAATGCTCAGCCTTCACCAAAACAGCTAATTATATATCTGGCACTTCATTAAGTGACTTATTGGGTGACTTATTGCTAGAAAAAATAAGGTTAAGAATTAGTTGGTCTAACTTCTTATAACTCACAATAAAAAAGGTATTCAATGCAAAGGACTAAATAAAGTCTTAAACAATTTAATTCTTGAACGATTCATTACATAGAGTCACTGCACATTAATTTATAAATTTAAGGGAAACATTTTAAGAGATAATATGCTTGTTCTTCGTCATTTCTCAATTTATGTCGCTTCGAAAGCGACATACGTTATTTATAAATTTAAATTTGACATACGTT